GTCATGGTGTCCATGATGTGCCAAGCTGTCCCTGCCAGTGCCTGAGCGTGTCAGGCGCCCTAGAGCCATGCCCTGGCTGTCTGGCATATGATCCTCCACTGGGTTCCCGGTCAGCCTGGTGGAGACGCTGGGAGCCTCGCTGCCTTTGGAGGCCCTTCTCACCCAATCTCTCATCGTCCCCATCCTTCCATGGAGTCCGAGCCACCGCAGTCTGCTGGCTCTCCCCCTGCCGCACTCCCACCCTGCATGCTTCACTAACGCTCCCTCCGAAAACCTTCCGCATGTCTAAGTCCCTCTTGATCCCCTTCTTGGAGACCCAAGCTGACGAAGGTCCCGCAGACCACACAGCTGCTCTCAGCACCTTCAAAATCAGGGAACTTCACAGCCAGAGACTCAGTTTGGCAAGAAAGAGGGGGCCAATGGGAGAGATGAGGTCAAGCAGTTTGTCCTGCTCTGTGCCATAGGGCGGGCGCAGCATCGTGTGGGGCACAGAATTTACCACCCAGCTCTGTCTCCCAAGGCAGAAGCCTCACATCCCCCACCCCTCCATCTCCATATTTACGCATTTACCAAATCTTGCTGACTCTGCCTCGGAAGTGCCTCCTGAGTTATTCTCCTCCCTCCCTCTCCAGGACTGCTGACGCCATGTCTGGCTCCCTGCTCAGGGGCGCAGGAAGCTGAAGCCTGAGGTGTGCCCAGGCCCTCAGGTCTGTGCCCCTCCCCTCTCTTCTGGCTGCACTAGCTGCCCTTGACCCTCTCTGACCAGAGCTTCCCCATGCATGGTAAGGAGGTAGTCATCCCACCTGCTGCCTTTGCTTCTGGCAGTCACGGGGCCACATCCATGGGGCACCCAGCCCATGCTGGCGATGGCAGGCAGGCACTGGCTCCCATCAGTTTTCCTCTATCTCCCCACCCTCTTCCTCCTCCATCCACACGGGGGTGGCTGCCTCTCCACTTCCCCTCCACTCACTCTCCATGTGACTCCACTGAGCTCTGCGCCTTGGGACAATGGATGAGCGGCATGAACAGAGCCAATGGCTCCTGTGCCCTCTGGCTTCTGGTGGGTTCAGCCAATGGGGGGCACCAGCAGGGGTCCAGTGGGAGGGAGGAGTGGTCAGGGCACTGGTCCCTGGCTCCCTCCCTGCACAGCTCCTGTCAGGTGCTCCCTCCCCATGACGGGCGTCCTCCTAGGGTCTTGGTAATTGCTGTGGCTAGCCCCAGGATACTACAGCAGCCTCTGGATCTCCCTAACCCTGCCCAGGCCTTTGTAAACATGCACTTTATTCATCTCTCCTCAAATTCCCCAGTTTGAGCATTTCCTGCCAGGACTCTGACCCATAAAACTTGCTACACTGTTACCAAAATTATAACTTTGAAAAATAAAGTTGACCTTGCTGTTTTCCTGTTAAGAAAACCTCTTGTGGACCTCTGCTGCTTATAGGGCAAGCAGCAACTCCTTAAGGTGATGTGGGACATGTCTCACAATCTAGCCTTGTCCTATCTCTCCATGCATCATCTAGCCCTCCAAGGTCCACCCTACCTCTCCGTGTATCTCCTACCCTCTCCGTGATCCACCCTACTTCTCCATGCATCTCCCGCGCCCTCCATGGCCCATAAATACTGTGGTGCTCCATGTGCTGTGCAAGGGCTGTGTCTTTGCATTATTACCTTAAGCCTTTGCTCACCATATTTTCTCTACTTAGAATGTGCATCTCCAATTTTCTTCCTGGCAAATCCCTATTAATCCTTTGAGGTCTTGGGCAAAGGCCACCTCCTCCCAGAAGCCCTTCCAGGCAGGGTTTGTGCTTCTGCAGCCTGTGCCCCGAGCGTCAGTGTGGCTCCACCTCTGCCTAACCCACCCACTCACTTGACTGCCCTCTTCCCTTACACAGCGAGCAGCTCACCTGGGAGAGGACTCTGCCCAAGTCAGCTGTGATGGGAAGCGTGACGCGGCAGGACAAAAGCACGAAGTTGAGGAAGATGGCAGAACCGCTAAGGGGCTGGGAGCTCTGGGGAGTCAGTGCGATGGGCTGGCCTCACGGTTTCTTAAACTGATAAAACTGGGCTATTTCTTCCTGGCTAATGAAAATACAGACTCAGATCCTGAAAAGCTTTGTAGAGTTCTCTATGGCTTGAAACATTTGAGTCTTAGCTTCCTGAGAAAGGTCTGCATGTTTTAGGAGGGCTGTAAGGTTTGTGATGGTTTCTGTCTGCTTGTAAGCCTCAGTGGCCGACAGTTGACATTATTTACTGTTTTTCCGGGGCAGGTTCTGCCTTGTTTTTGAACAGATGGTCGGATCAATTCCTTATTTTTAGAAAACAGCGCAAGTGTGAAACAGCCTTTTGCCCTCTTGTCCCTGTGCTCGGAGGGGGCCAGCCAGACGCAGCCAAGAGCCTGCAGGGGAGTGGGCTGCGGGCGGGCCTGAAGGACGCTGTGTCCTTCCGCCTGGGGCCTCGGTGGGCTGGAGAGGCCTCTGAGCTTCACTGGGAGGAGTCAGACCAGGGTGGGGAGGACAGGAGAGAGCAGCAGGCAGGTGGAAGAGGACTAAAGGAGGAGGAACACTGAGGGAGGAAGACATTGCTGTCATCTCTGCAGGACAAGCCCCCACACAGCTGCTGATCTAAGGGCCACTCCCACCTCCAAGCCCAGCCCGGGTCCCCGGACACTGCTGGTTGCTGACCCGCACCCACCTGCTCCTCCTCCTTCCCAAGAGAGCCCCACTGTGCTGTTATCCAGCCTTCCTTCCTCTGTCGGGGGAGGCGGACCGCCCCCAGGCCAGGGGTTCCCACTGGGTCTCATGGCGAGTGTCCACACTCCTCTTGCCGGTGATGGGTTCTGGGTTCTGGACTGGGCAGGGAGATGTAAGGAGAGGTTTTCTGGGTGCTTCTGGGGAGGCTCCTCCCATCCTTTCTGGAAGTTTCTGAAAGTGGCTCCCTCCCCAACCTGCTGGAGGTGAATGAAGAAGCATGGAGCGAGGTGCTCCTGGCAGCCGTCCTGTGAGCATGAGGAGAATCGGCTCAGGATGAGGGCATCATGGTCGGCCGAGCAGAGAGGTGGAGAGAGGCTGGATCTCTGGATCACTCACTCCTGAGGCTGCCATCCCTCCAGATTTCCACAGTCAATATAGTCCCTTATTTTGAAAGCATGGTTGACATTGAAAGCATGTGTTGTTAACCTCCAGGCAACAGCATCCTAACAGAGGCGCCTTCCCGGACCATCGGTCCTCCGGGATTCCTCCTCGTCTGCATCTTCTGTCTGTAACACACACAGGGCTCTGGACATACTGCCTGTCTCTCTTCAACCAGCTCGCAGCTCCCTCGAGGAGAGGGGGCCACTCATTGTTTCATCCACTTAAAAGTTAGTTACTGAGAGCATACCACATGCCACTCATCTTTTTAAAAACAAGAGAGAAACGTGATGGAAAGTCAGGAAAGTGAAATCTTTTAAACCTGCAAGGCACACAGGCCTGATCATAGGTGAGGTGAGATGCTAAGCTCACCGACAGCTCTTCAGTGAATGAGCATTTGCTCGTCTGGGCACCGTGTTCTACCTTCTCCAGATGCCCGGGGCCAGCATCAGCTCCCTCTTCAGCATGAAGATGGCAATCGTCATCATTTGAGCCCCTGTGTTTTTCCTGGCCCTTCTTCTCATTCCGAGCCGGCGAGTGTGTAGATTCGGTCGAGCTGTTCTCGCCGCACCTCTCAGTGGTTAAGTCCTGTTGAGCTGCAGTCCATGCGCCATGAGACCGTGAAGACTATATTTCTACCCAGTGAGCCCGAGGCCAGCTGTAGCCTGGCACAGGCTCTTGATGTCTTTTTTTTCCAGGGCAACGATAAAACTCAATAAATAATTTTGAGCATCTGTCCCTTGACGCTAAGCTTCTTTTTGTAACACTCTGTTCTCTGTACACACTCTGTAACACTCTACTGGTCTTGCTGACTCAGTGACAGGGACATGAAGGAAGGATGAGACAAAAATGTGCCACTCTTCAGGGCTCAGCAGAGTTTTCTGACCAAGCCCACAGATGGGCACAGTGGTCCCTTTTCTCAGTAGTGGCTCCATCCCCACTCGTATTCTCTTTCTCTCTCTTTTTGTCCTTCCTTCCCTCCCTCCCCTCTCACCCCCTTGTGACGAATGGCAAAGATGTGTGTGGACACTGGCCAATGTCTGTGATCATGGGGAAGCCATGAAGATTCACCTCATGGTCTCTGCACCTTGTTTTTTTTTTTGAGGAAAATTAGCTCTGAGCTAACATCTGCTGCCAATCCTCCTCTTTTTGCTGAGGAAGACTGGCCCTGAGCTAACATCCGTGCCCATCTTCCTCTCCTTTCTATGCGGGACGCCTGCCACAGCATGGCTTGTCAAGCTGTGCCATGTCCACACCCGGGATCCAAACCGGTGAACCCCGGGCCGCCAAAGTGGAACATTTGCACTTAACCTCTGTGCCACCAGGCCGGCCCCATGCACCTTGTTTTAATCAACTAAACGAGCAAGCTACCGAGCTATGCAAAAACCAGCATAAAAGTCTTTGACAGAATAACCCTAGTCGTTTCCCTTGAAATCCACTTTGGAATTATGGACAGAGTTTTGTAAGTACGAGCAAATTGCGTGCAAAATGTGTGCCCTGACAAGAAACGTACATCTGGAGAGGACTGTGTTGCAGCCAAGTCAGGAGACGCAACCTCCCCCAACCTCCCCCGGGTCGACGGTGCCCGCCGGGAGGGGTCCTCACCGCACAGCCTCCATCTGGTCCTTCTCCTCCAGGGAGCCCAGCCTTCTCCTCACTTCATGCAGGAGCTTAGTTCCTTGGAAGCCACTGCCTCGGCCGTCACATTTCACCACCACGGCTCCATGGCTGCTCACCATTACCGTTTCCCAGGTCACCTCAAACTTCTCCGCCACGCTCTGGCTCCCTGGGGTGCCATCCCTGGAAAAGACAGTCCCTGGCCTCAGCATGCCGCATGGGGCAGCGGCTAGTCTATCAGACACTGGGGCCTGAGGATGCTCTCCTAAGGGACTCTCCCCACCCCAGGAGGGTGTCCGTGACCCCTGCCTGCCACGTGTCTGCCTCCATATCCCAGGTTCTGTCACCCCGGGCGGGCGAGTCAGCATTCTCCACACACTTGTAGGGGGATGAGGAAAGGGAGCACTCAGAGGGCCACCCCAAAGCACAGTGGCACCAGCACAGACTGTCACTGAAGGGCCTTTACTGAGTGAGAGAAACTCAGAAAGTCCTCCCAACTTCTCCTTTTGGCTTGCCTTTCCAACGTTGTGTGGCTCTTTCCTGGGTTCTAGACTTCTCAGGCTGCCCCCCTCAGTCCCTATCATGTGAGCGACAAGAAAGCGTTTGCTCCTTTTAGCAGCACCTTTGGTTTGAAGAAATGATCTCTCTTTTTGGCTAACTCCAAAGACACAGCACACAAGCTGATCGGGGTGGTCTTTCCTATGTGCATCTCCTCAGAAGACGAGGCTGCCTGTTCCCTGCGAGGCAGGGGATCAGACCAGCCGAGCCCTTCCCTGGGTGGTTATATTGTGCCTGTGCCTTCTCTGCTCCTCACTCAGGGACATCACTCTGCCAGCTAAAACCATCCATGGCGGTGAGTTTACACCGTGGAAGTTGGCCAGTGCTACTAACAGGGCCCTGTTAAACGGAGGCTCGGTTGCGGAGAGCACTAGCACACTCATGGGCACGAGGGAGACTTGCAAAGTACTCTTCCATTTGATGGGGACGGGATGAGCAAGGCCAGCGCCAGGTCCAGCCTCTCTCCCAGCCACAGCAACAGATGGCAAGGCCCATTCTGAGAGCCGGCCAACTGAAGATGCACTGGCTGGTCCTTCCTCCAAGGAGGTGACAGCTACCACTGCCATAACCATCATGACTTTCTGCCAAAGACTGAGGGCATGCAGGCAAGGTGTGTGTGTGTGTGTGTGTGTGTGTGTGACTCAGGAGTACTGCATCTGAGGGCTGGAGGTGAAAGACCGCTGTGACGATATGATTCTGATATACGGGAAGTGCGTGTTCTGTTTTCTTTTGGGTTTTTTTGTTTTAAACAGGCATCACTCGACACAGTTCCTTTGGTGTCTTGAGGTCCCCAAACCACAGTGCTGTCACATTTGAAGTCATAGTGAAAAGCCCTACAGGAGACTAAGGTGGCTGCACGGCAGCCTGTCGCGCATGTGGTTGGTGTGGGCAGGTCCTGCCTGCATTCGCGGAACGGGCTGCCGTGACTGGGCGATGCCTCCCGTCCTTCTGAAAGGACGGCGAGCTGTTTTGTAAACTGGGAAGCCTTTTAGGATTTCCCTTAAGATTACCGAAGAACCAGTGTTTAGGGCAAGAAAGCTGTCAAAGAAAGCATCTTTGAGAAAGTGACGAAAATCTGGCCTAATCAGGGAGAAAGGGGGCAGTGTGGGAGGAGTGTGTGCATGTGAGTGTGCATGTGAGTGTGGGGGGGTGTGTGTGAGTATGGGGTATGTGTGGGTGTGACTGTGTGTGTGTATACGTGTAGAAGTGCGTGTGTCAGTGTGTCTGTCTGTGTGCGTGTTGGGGTTGTTGGCAAAGTTCTAACTATGTCCAGACAGTGAGGAAAGTGGGCTGATTGCACCCTGGAATCAGATGTTGGAATCTGAGCCACGAGGCATCCTTATGATGAAGTCTTTCTGTTACTTAGGACTGAGCCCCCAGGCCGGGCCAGGCACGATGAGCAGGCTTAATCCAGTTATTTGACGTTGACTCAGGTGGGTGACTTCACTATCATGCCTAAAACAACCCCAGTGCAGGCCTCTGCCCTATCCTGACCCTGTCCTGTAAACACGGGGGGTGGCTCCCCCAGGGGCACGGGAGACCTCACTCTTTTTCTCTGCTCTGAGGGCCTTGAAAGGACAGAGAGGTGGACAGCACGTGTTAAATGATGTGAGTGGAGCCTGCCTTTGAAAGGCTTCCGTTCGTGCGTGGTGTGAGTACCAGTTAACCTTAGCCTAAACCTCGGGGCGGGCGGTTAGCATCTGAAGTACCTGCTGGGGGCAGGAACCCCAATCAGGATGCGGCACCTTCAGAGGTGTGTAGAGAGCTCTTAGGAAGCTGTTCTGGAGCTCTAACCCAGAGGGCTGTTCATTAATAGAAGTCTCTGAAATAATTCTTTGCTGCAAAGGACTTCTTTGCATTCAAGGCACTTTCGAAGCTGGAAATGCTGCTGCTCAGCTCGGGCACCCTCACACAGGGTGGGCAGCCAGCTGGCCTGGCAGAGCCTGCTGCCTCTGTGCCTGGGGCCCTGCCCAGGATGACCGCCCGCCGTCAGCTTTCACACCCGTTCTGAGCCCATCTACCCATCACCGTGGCATGATCCGTGGAATTTGACTTAAGACCTGCTTTCATTGTAGCGAATTGCCCCAAAGTGGATGGGGGCGAGGGGAAGCAGAGCCCCCCCTTTCCTTTAACATCTGGGGGTCTCCGATAGTTATGAAAAGAACCTGACATTTGCTGACGGGCTAAACGGTCTTAAGATTGTGGTGTGCAGCAACATCACTTCTCCCATTTGTAATTTTCTTAAGAATTCAACGTTCCTGTTTCATGGGGTCATTGAGTTCCCAGGCAAGCACCCCGAGAAAGAAAGGGGTGACCATACTTACACCACCAGGAGCAAGGGGTAGTGGGCAGTGTCGGTGAAGGTCGCTGGCTTGAGGATCTGAACGGGCAAGTCTAGGCACAAACAGAACACAGAGCAGCGTATTAGGGGGCAACAGCGACCAGGAAGGAAGGGGTGAGGCCGGGCTCTGGCCTCGATGTGTCCCTCCAGGAGGGTGTGGGGGAAGGGCATTTGGAGGGGGCACTGGCGGGTCCATCACAGACAGGGGCTGGCCCCTATTTTCATCTCCGTGACTGGGTGGCTGAGTGACCTTGAGCAAGTCACTCAACATCTTTGAGGCTCAGTTTCTGCATCTGAAGCTTAAATTCAGTCTTGCAGAGTGTGTTGAAAAACAGAAAAGACTGAATCACCAGGAGCGCTTGCTCACAGCAGAACTCCAGGCAGGGAGGAATAAACCCCAACAGGCAGCGTGGGTCTCTGCCCGGCAGCTGCTGCAATGTGCAAGTAAGTAGGGCCGGATACTGGGGAGCTGTGGCGACGGGGAGAGGAAGACACCCAGGGCTGGGGTAGGGCAGGGGCAACAGCCCAGAAGGGGAGGCTGAGAGCCCCTGGGGACGGTTTGTGCAAAGCTGGGGGCTATGTCGGCCTCAGTGTTTGCAGGTTGGTGCTGGGCAGGTCTGGCTGCCTGCGGAGCACACTAAAGGACAGTGGAGGGAGCTGGTGCAGCCCTTGTTTCTGCAAGGTCGTTTGGATCTGGTCCTTGGCTGTGTGGGATCCAGCTGGGCAGGGAGGGGGCAGTTTCCTTCACAGTTTCTTCTGTTCTCTCCAAAACAAACCTTCCTGCCCAAGTTAGAAATGGTTTATTGATGTTAACTACAACCAGATTAGCAATTAAATTGGCATTAGTGGCTTTTTCAGTACAATTACTATAGATACACGCCAGGCTTGGGGGTTGGCTTAGCAGCCTGCTCTGACCAGGGTCTCATTACTGATTCTGGCTGAATGTTAATGGCTTGCAAATTGGATCAATGGCCCAGGGACCTGCAGAAAGGCAGGCGTTGGACTTTATCGTTGAAACATCCATAAAACATGGTCTGGGCTGCTCTCTGTCACTGATAAGCCCACGGGCAGACCTTGGCCATGACTGGCTGAATACATTTCCAGAGAGCCCTTAGGAAAGCCTTAGCTTTTCTTGAAGGAAAGCCTCAGCCTCTGGTTGCATTAAATGAAAAAACAAAACCTCAAAAACAAAAACGGGTCGGTACAGTGACATCTTCCAGGTTTTCTGCGGCCCCATAGGGGTGACTGATGTTCAGACGCCGGTCCCCACACACAGCTATGCCTGTCTCTTCATTCCCATTTACCTGTCAAGTAAAACCTCACCCTCGAATGAAACCTCACGCGCAAGGGTGGGAAAGTTGATTCTTTGTTTCTAAAGGTCTTTTTCTGCATTTTCCGCGGAGGGGGAGGCATTCACCCCTTAGCGCTTTAGGACTTGGGAAACATTGCTGTGAACAGCAGCGTGAAGAGCGGATGGGAGAGGAGGGCATGGGTTTAGGAGATGAGAAGGACTCTTGTAAAGGAGTACCCTCTGGCTGCAAAGCAAGAGATGTGAGAAAACTGAGGGAGGGTTCTGGAAAATTTACTGACCGGGGGACAGGGGAATTTGAAGTCTGGCCATGGAGTCCACCCAGCTGGCTTCACAGGGTGTGTACGGGCCCCGTGCAAGGGCCCTCTGCTGGGCTTAATGCTCTGCCGTCGTAATAAACTGTGAATGAAGCACCTCGTGTTGTCATTTTGCACTAGTCCCTGCAAACTATGGAGCTTCTCCTGAGGTCTGAAGACAGATACGGAAAGTAGAGTGGGATGGGAACAAACATGTGGAAGTTGCTCGCTTCCTTATTCATCCATCATCCATCCACCGACCCATCCACCCATCCATCCACCCATCCATCCATCATCAATCTAAAGTCATCTTAATTTCTTGCCTTTTGGTTCTTCCTTATAAAACGACAGCACAAAAGTAAATATCCAGTTATTCTGAGAGTTCTCATTAATTTGAATCTGCTCTGAGTAACTGGACTCCAGGTTCTTTATGGAAGATTGAATCAGTCAAGGATGCCATCCGTGTGGGCAGCCCAGATTTTACTTTGACCTATCTCCTTGGAATATAAAATCTTACCAATTGGGCTCTCTGCATCAGAATACCCCTGAATTCTTCAGAGTAACTCTCTACGAAGAAAATACCTTGACAGGGAAAGGGATGTGGGACTTAAGACCAACAAGCTGTCACTCAATTGAATTCATCAAGAGTTGGCATCATCCTCAATGCACACACCTCATGTCAGTACAGGTTTCCACTTGCTGCCTGCTACCTGTGGATTTCAGACCAGTCTGACTCGGGGTTGCTTGTTTTAGTCCTAAGGGAAACTATATAAAGCTCCTATGGTACGGGTTCACCATACCTTCTTGCTGGTGTCTCACCCTTTGCTCTCGTCATTCTCTATTAGAGTTGGGACTCCTGTGGTTCTCGTGTGTCCTCAGGTTCTGCCTGGACTTGTGGCCTTTATGCCCCCTCATCAGGATTCCCCTGAGCCCTGATGACTGGCATCTGTGGATGTCTCAGTTTCTCTGTGTCTCCCTCTTTTTACTTTATAGCTTCTCTCCCACGCAAGAATGGATTTGCCTCTTGACTCCATTTACAGGGTTTTAGGTTTCCTGGACATCCACAGCTGCCTGTGCTCTCAGGGCTGAGAGCATCGCATGGAAATCTAATAGAAACTCAAACTCCAGAGAGACGGAAAGGCCCTTGAACCTGTGGGAAGTGACATCTCCACTGGGCATAAGCACATTTCTTGGCCAAAGCAAATCATCACAGCCTCTACTTCTGGTTTTCCTAAGTTTATTTCTCCTCCCGCCTCCAGGCTCTTCTTTATGCATTCATCACAGTGATCACATTTGGGGTGTTTTAAAAGGGGAATAGGGATTTGAAGCACATTGTATTTCCCGCCTTTTCTGACTTTCAGAGGTGAATATGTATGCCTGCATGGATCTCTAACAGTGTCTAGAAAAGTTCCAATATAGTATTGCTCTGTATGGACCCATGATAGGACCAGGACATTTTAGGGAGCGGCCTCTGGAGGGACCAAAGGCGCTGGAGAGGGAGGGGTCCCTCCACCTCGGCTGACACCCTGGGACTCTCCTGCAGGCTGGAGTTCCTGATCAGCCTCCTGACTCGCCTACAACGAATGACACTTACTCTCGCCTAAGAGCCAGCTCAAGTTGCTCCCTGCCCTGGACTGTGCTCTCTCCTCTTCTTTGCCAACCTAAAGCCGACTCCAGGGACCCTGTGCAAGTCCTACCTTCCTCGGAACCTTCATGTGACCCTGTCCTTTCTCACACTCTCCTCTGAACTCCTGGGCCATCTGCTCTCTGCTAAAGGATGCAGCTTTACCACACACACTGTTTGGGTTGGGCTGACTTCGTTTCACAGGGGTGAGCCTTGGTTCCTGCACCTTGAGCTCACAGTCTTAGAGGGCTGTGTCTTCTCTAACAAGAGGTGCTCAATACTATTCCAGGGCCCACTGACCCAGGTGACAAGCCACTGTCCCAATGAAGGGAAAAGGTAGACAAAGCTTCCAGAGATTGTCTAGGGTGCAAACCCAGGCCCCGGGGTTCAGTTTAGGCATTACTCATCAATCTCAGCTTCTTTCCCATTGAGCCCTGGCACCTTTCCACCCCTATTTAACAAAGGGCTCCAGCAGCTGTTCTCACTCAGTCAGAGGTGGCCCAGGACAGGACACCTGTTTGCCAACCCCAGAGATGATGGGTAGATGGCATCTGAATGAATAACTCAAAGATAACTTTGATGTTCGAATCTAAGTTATTTGAAACCAGTCAACAAACAAGAAGGTATTCTCCTCGAGAGCAGGCCTGTCTGGAGAGGGACAGAGCTCCGGGGGAAAGATGGGGAGGTTGTGTGGGCATTCTGCATTTGAGGTTTTCACAGGTACACCTGGTGGGCAGTTAGGGCTCTGGGGCAGGTGGGGTTGACTAGGAGCCACCAGCAGAGAGCTGAGAGTTGAAGCTATGAGACCTCTGCTTCCCTCCTGGAGATATCCCAGGCCAACACTTTTAGTGCCTGGCAGTGCCTCGCACACAGCAGGTGCTCATTAAAGCTTGTTGAATGACTGAATGGACTGCTCAAGAGAAAGGAGAGCACAGAGAAGGGCAGAGTGCTGGACGTTCCTCAGGCTGTAACAACACACGAATTCCCCAGCGGGCATTTCTCCAGTTGCAAGGCTGCCCTCATCAGCATTTAGAGGGGAGATGATAAAGTAGTAGAAACACCAAATGGCATAGAAGCGGGAGGATGCGTCCCCCAAAAGGAGAAAATTTCCATCTGGGCCCTTTAAGTTGTCAGCCTCTTGTGGAGAGAAATCATATGCCTCACATTTTTGTCTGTCATCAGAGTGAGAATCTCGGTTCCAAGCACAGGAAGCTCAGTGCAGGACGCTGCCCTCAGCTCCGACTCTTGCCTCGCTGGAATGCATTTCTAGCCACGAGGCCAGGAGACTTGGCACTGGGGGACGCCTTCCCTGCATGGCGACCAAGTGCGGATGGTGGCCTGTTTCAGAGCAGATGCCTGCTTTTCTTTTGAGAGGGGAGAACGCAGCACTTACTATAATCGTCAATCTCGATTTTCCTGTACTCCACTTTAGGCATCTGTCTGTCATTTACGGCCTTCTGTACGTGTTCGTTTGTTTCTAGGTCAAAAATTTCTGAAAGAGAGAAAACAATGACACAGTCAGATTCAGTAACCACTTATTGAAGCCATGGGTTTTCATGAGCATCGTACCATTAATTCCCACATCGGTCCTGGAGTTGACTATTATTCTGTTGCATGGATCAAGTAGCCGAGACGTCACATAACTTGCTCACGTTCCAGGATGAGGTGGAATCAGGAGCTTGGGCAAACGGAAGATGCTTCCCACTGTATTAGGCGACTCTCTGCCCCCAGGGATGCGCCTTCTCCGGGGCATCTCACTACACGTATAGGTTTGGGTATGTTTCATCTCAAGACTGCTGGTTTGGGGGAACCAACATCATATATCTGTTAGGACAAATGGTTTTCCAAATACAGTGGCCACAAGAACCAAGCAAGGAAAGGAGAGTGGAAGCTGGAGTGTGATCTTCATTAAAATGTCACAGGAACAATGGATTCTGATTTCTTACCTTAATCACAATGTTGTCTAGCTTTGGAGACCTTAATCTGGATGATCAGATTAGCTGACAGTGAAGCCACAGGAGCAGCATTTTTCAATGTGGTGGGACTGGCCCTTGTCCCTCCAAACTAGAGAGAGATGGGTCAACCCTGAGCCATGCCCTACATGTATGGCGTCCTCACATCTCAGGTCATAACAGACGCCCTCACTGTGCATTTCTCCAGTTGTGAGCATGCCCCCATGAACCCCCTTCATTAGTCTCCTACTGAAATGGCCTTTCCACCTCACCTCACCATCCGAAACCTAGCAAACCCATCCAGCTTGCTTTCTCCTTTCTTACCTTGAGACTACATATGGGGACAACTTGAGGTTCACTAGGGAAGGAAACTCAATCTTCCAGGACCTCTACTTTTGACTCGTCGCATCACTTTGAAACATTTGTGACTATTTTAAAAAGGAAACTACCACCACGAGCAGTGTCACAATGAACATTCAGCCATCCTCCCATGATGATTCCCTTTAAGAACAACAGGCACTCTACAGGACTCCACAAAGGCATGTGGAGGTTAAATTATGGCTCATGCAGCCGGCCCAGTGGCATAGCAGTTAAGTTTGCGTGGTCCGCTTTGGCGGCCCAGGGATTCGCAGCTTTAGATCCTGGGCACAGACCTACACGCCACTCATCAAGCCATGCTGTGGTGGCGTCCCACATACAAAATAGAGGAAGATGGGCATGGATGTTAGCTTAGGGACAATCTTCCTCAGGAAAAAAAAAAAGAAAGAAAGAAAAACAATTATGGCTCATAACTAGGAGTCTCCAGCACCGAGTGGTTTTATCAGTGAAGCAACACGTGGGTATCAACACTGCTCAGGGATCCGAGGGGTGGTTTCTGAGCAGGAGCAGAGAGAAGTGAAGGTTCCCAGGGCTTCTGATGAGTCAACCAACCAAAGAAAAAATGTTTTACAAGTTGCTGGACACATATTTGAATATTGAGCTTTGCTGAAAAGGTGAGCAGAGAAGTGGTGAAACTAATTTTCAAACAGGCAGAGTTTAAACAATCTGCAGTTGGACGACTGCCACAAAAGATTCTGAAAGCCACATGACACGCAAGAAATGGCGTCCCTTACACTGGGAAGGGACCCCCACGCCTGGAAGGGTGCACGTGGAGGTCCAGGTGGACTTGACCTCAACTCGGAGAGCCGGAGATGGGGCCCCAGAGACAGCACGCTCTGCATCGTGGTCACGTGTGCAAGTCAGGGAGGAACACCACCCCAGGGTGGCACAATGCCCCACTGCCTGCTCCACACCCTTGGCCCAGCTCCTAAGGGAGCAGAGAGAATTCTTGTTTTTGCTGAGTCCAAATGCCCTCGGCCCTTTAACACAGTGCTCCAGGGAGACACAATCAGTCGAGAGGAATTGGTTTATGAGATCTTAACTATTTATTATTTGTGTTCTATTCACATCCAGAGGGTGGAAGACTAGAAGGGAGCTCTGCAGGATACGGAAAAGAGCAGCATTTTTGAAGTTCTTTGCCACCTCAGGACCTTTGCGCTTGCTGTTCTCTGTTTGGAACTTTCTTTGCTGGCTCCTTCTCCTCCATCAAATCAAACGTCACCTTCTCAAAGAGAAGCCCTGACCATCGACCTCAGGTACCCCCTCCATATACACTTAACACGAACTGTGAGAAGTTTGGCTGTTTATCTGGCTCCTACCCCACTCTCCCCACAAGGCATCCGTGTTCAGTCCCATCCCAGGGACAAAATGCACTGGTTTCCAGCTACCTGAGTTATCTGTTTGTGGAGGTCCAATTCATGCCCTGGAAATGACATGTCTCTATGGCATCTGAGTCTGGGTTTCAGCCCAAGTGTTTCTCCCTTTTCCCACATGGCCCCTTTTCTGTGGCCCCAAGAAGGTCTCTGATGGAGAAGAAACTAGAGAGGACAGAGACAGCCTCTGGTGTTTCAGGAAGCCCAAAGGCTCTCAGAGGCTCCTGGTGTCCAGGCCTCTTGAGGGGTAAGAGTTGAAGCAATTGAGGGCTGACTCCCAACCATTGCTCCCCGCATGAAGCGAACCAGAAAGAAAGCAAAGCACGCCTCGCTAATTGAAAAGGTTACGGTGCTTGAAGGACTCATGACACACACAAGTCAGGATTTAGTTAATACTGGGATCACGATGAAATTCATTGATGCTATGCACGCCCCAGCTAACTGTTGGATCCCGTGCATGGATCTTACAGGGTCATCTGGAAGCCTCAACCCTGGAGAACCTGCAATCTTTATCTTTCTGCCCGCCTATGAGATGAGCCCAGGCAGAGACAGGTGAGGGACTGGGGGGTGTGCGAATGTGGGCCCAACTGGAGAAACGAAGGCTCACACAGGTGAGTGGGCCCAGTGGGAGCTTGGGTAGACTGCCTTTACCAACAGGAACAAGGAAGGGTCCATCGCTATCAGAGAAGCAGCCCCTCTTCTGCTTTGGGGGCCGGAGACGGCTTCCGCCCGGGAATCTGCCGGTGGAAACGCCGACCTGGACGACCAGATTTCAAATGAGAGAACTGGAACAGAGCCTCTCACAGTCGATTATAATACGCTCTTTTCTCCAGCTGTGTGCATTTGAATTTGATATTTCTGGCCTCACTCAGCCATCTCAAATGCTGATCCTGAAGGAGAAATTTCATCCTCAGGTTGCAGTGTGGTTTGCTGCCTACTGAGTTAAGCTTGCCTGGAGCTAACGGGAACACAGACTTGCCACCGAAACACCCATTACCAACTCCTCAGAGCTCACGCTTCGTGGGCGCGTGCACAATGTTCTCATTGGCGCGACTCCATAAACCTAGCTTGAATAGCTGGTCCCTCTGTATTGAAATCCCACCCTTCACAGAAAGGCACCAAAGCAACAGACTATTAAATTTAGTTAAATATTAGATTTCTCATTTAATGATTGCCCACACAACTGGTTTTATCAGCAGAGAGCTGGCTGTCCCACAGGGGAGCTGAGTTAAGCCATTTTATTTGTTCCTATAATTGCATTCAAAGAAGGCTGGAGCTCAGCAGAGGAAATAAGAAAAGATGGGCATGTTCCCGAAGGGCCTTCTTTTGACTTCAGGGCCGTGGGGACCTCCCGTCTGGAGCATACAAATGGCCACTCCTTAATTAAATGTGAGCCCCCTCTAATATTTGGTGGAATTAGCTATTATCAGATCCGGACACAGTGAGACCACAGGAACAGATGCCTGCTCACGAGGGTGGCGTCGCTGGCTGTGCCCAGTGGGCAGACCCGCCGGGGCTCTTGGGCTGCTCCGAGACCCTGTCGGTTCAGGGCATTGGTGGAATCGCCACTGGACTGAACTTGGGGAAATTAGTGACCAGCATCTAATGGAAGCCAATAGGCAACTGACCTAAAGGAGCGGAGAGCAGCCCGCTCCCTTTTCTGCAGGAAGTGAACGCGCGGGATTGTGTAGGCGTGCACAGAGATTGCTCGGGTCCTCCCGCTGGGCGGGTCGACAGCCCTGTCTGCATTTCGGTGCCTTTCGTAGTCCAGGCCTTTCCCGGCCTATTTCCGCTTGCTTTCTCCTGTGCCCCTTCCGCCGCCGTGTCAGGACTCAGTCCTCCCATGCCCCTTGACGGTGGCATTCAGATGCTGTCCGCCCACCCAGGGCCGCACGGCTCCGACCCGAGGCAGGCCCCCCCCCGCCGGCACGGATCTTTTAGACTCCCCCCCCCCCCCCCCCCCCCCCCCCGTCAACTGGAGATCTCTTTTTCTGAACACTGAACGTCTAGCAAAAGAGCCACTGTCACACAGTTTGGGTAATCATCGTTCTTTGTGCTGAATCTATCTTTCTCTCCAGCTGGATTTAAGCACCTGGAAGGCAGGTCATGGAAGGGAATTTGCCTTTGGGCCCTCCCGCCGCTGGCGCCGTGCTCGGCAGCAGGCGGACGGGTTTAACAGGAGGGGTTGTGCTGGGAGTGGACGGGCGCGGCCCCCGCCCTGACTGACACCAGCCGCACCGAGGAGGGGGCGGTGGTGGCACCGCTGGAGAGCTGCCCGCACGGGCGCGGTGGAGCTGGGGTCCTGCGGCACCCTACGGAGAGGGGACGGGCTAGGCACTTGGCTCGCTCTCCCTCTGCTAGCCAGATGCCAACTCGCCCACCAAACACGCTGCATTTTGGTCTAGGATGAGCCGTCTGTAAACCTTATCATCACTCCATCCCTCCAGAAAGGCTGCCTGTGTGGGGAGCCCAGGGCGCCCAGAAGGCTTTCCAGACACAGACAACTGAGGACTTGATGGAACAGGTTGTTCCATGCTTGCCGACATCTCCTGGCACCCCAGTCTCCCCTCCCACCCGCAGGCCACGTGCCGGATGGAATGGGTGCCGTCCTGTGGGTAGTTACTCAGAAGAAGACGCCGAGGGCCGGGGTGGCTCCCAGGCAGAGAGGACCGCGTGAGCAACCGGGCAGGCACCACGCAGCGGGACTGCTATCACCTCATCACAGAACGGCCTGGACGCCGGCCGGCGGTGGGAGTCCGTTTTGCTTCTTTATAAAAACCCAACTGAAG